AAAAAAAGAATGCATTTAATTATATATATTGTAATTCTAAAATGTTAATGAGGATAAAAATGGTCATGAACAATGTGCATTTAATGTTGGCTCATTTTCCCAAACTTTCCTATGATGAGAGAAAACAAAATCCAAATTGGGAGGAGGACTTCACTTTTCCCCTACTTTCTCATGTGTCAGGCAACTATTTCTCATGCTTGGACTTACCAAACATGGGAAAGTAATTGATTTCCCATTCACAAGCCTCATTTCCCATAAACCAAACGGGCTTAAAATTCTTCTGGGTTCCTTGGGTATGGACCTTGTTGGAATTTTTGTGAGTATTTCAAAATACAAAATTATTATTAAATTTATATTTGTTATTATTACTATATTTATTGAATTGAAATTTTAAATATGTGTTAAATGGTGATTTTAAAAGTTGAGATTTCAAAACCTTTTCCTTTTGGTATAGCTGGACGTGTTCTATTGATATGAATATTAAAATCTCTTTTGGCAGTTTTGTTTTGGATTTTAATGTCTTGAATTTGGAGAAAACATGTAGACCATTTTAACTGTGGGAGCATATTATGCATCTTAATTGCTTGTTTAATAACCAAACCTCCACTTGGAAAGCTCCTATGTATAAACCATATTCAAGCTATACGTTGAAAAAAAAGGAGAAATTAGATTGGCACATTTCTTCATTATTTTCTACTCAACACTCTTGAGTTTGTGTTTCAATTTGTTTTCTTTTATCAAGGGAAAGATTTGAGTTGTTCATCCGACCCACGTATTGCCAGTGTACGCTTATGAGGGTCATAGGTTGTTGTATCCTGGAGGGTATGGCGCCATACAACCTTGCTACACAGAGACATTGTCTTCGATGGGTGAAATCTACTCTTAAGGACAGTGAATGACATGCCTCAACCTAAAACTATTTTACTCAAGTATTAGGTAGAATGATTTTCTACATCCCAAAAGATAAGTATCTTACTGTAATTTCATTAATTGTATTTAATCTACTATATCAATGTAAATTATAATTTTCTAATATATATTTTCTATAATGTTTTGCAGGAAAAGTAGCATCCTTCAACCAAATTTTCCAACAAACCTTCCCTTCTCAATGCTAACATGGATATGCATTGTATTCTATATGTTGAAGAATCAAAACAAAGAGTATTTTTATTTTATTTTTTGGGGTTTCTTTTATTGAGAAAAATGTAATAATCAATACTTTAGGACTTTCGTTAAAGACTCCGACATTTTCCCAAAAGACTTTGTTTTGTCATTTTTTATTTTCAGAGATGTGGTGAATTACATACCTATAAGACAGACTGGAACCCTTTAAATTCGTCATTAATAGGCGACTTTCTTTCAAACTATCAGAGAAAAAGTCTTCGTTTAAGTAGAGAAGCTTCCCTAGTCTGTCGGTTGGCCTTTCTAGTCTCAATCCTGTTCCAGTTCAATCTTGGGTATTTAAGTTGTGTTCTTATCATCAAAGACTTCATTTAGAAAAAGAATAAAAAGAGACTTTGTTAGAGGACTTGGACAATAAATAATTACAAAACTATTGTTCCTAAATTTTATTAGAGTGTTATTAAATGAACCTTAAAATTAATTGAGTACACTCTACTATCAAATTATTTATTGAATTACTAAATATAAAATGACCAAAAAGGATATATTGAATTGTGAAATAAATATAATTTTAATTAGTACACCGTACTCACCATATTCAACCCTAATGCTAAGCGAAAAACCTTTCCAAACTTCTTGTTGTACTTCGAGTGCAACCTTTCAAAGCTCTTCTAATTTACTGCCCTAGTTAGTGTCCAAGGTGAAGAAGCTTATAAGGCTATAAATAGGGCTGTAGGCAGGCATACCGAACTCACTGCGAAGACAAGCCATCCTAGTTATTCTGTGTTCTGACTTAAACCCCAAAATCTAGAGTTTCCATTCCAAGCAAGCCATCACCATGGCCTCAGTCAGCAGTACTACTGCAAGTGATGAAACCATGGAGGTGGCTAAGAAGAACGTGTTTGCCACTTTCAATTGGAGAAGCATTCCATCACTTATAATGATGTAAAGGAGTTGAGAGAAATCTTGGCAAATGCAAGGAAAGATATCTGGGTGAATGTCTATTGGTGTATCATTACAACCGTAGCTTGCGCCACTAACATCACCCTCCTTACTAGTGATGAGTAAGTTTCATCCACATCTTCTCCATGCTTATACATCATGTACGCCTAATTAATCAATTGTTTAGATTGACAAGCAAACAATATAACATATACATCGCCCAAGTATCATTTACCAAGAACTGATTTGAACGTAGTATAACTGTTTTAATTCTTTCATATCAGGGGGAACTCACACGACCTTGTCCAGTATTCTCAGAAGATCACAATCATCCTCAATAAACTTAAGCAACAGCTTAAGATCTGAAGAGGAAATAGGGGGTTTACTTGATGAGCATTCACGAGGAAATACATATGTTGTTCTGGCAATACAATGCTGACATTCCTTTTTTGTATTATTTAATACAGAGAAGTTACGGCCCTACAAGAAGCTCAAACACCTCTTCCTAATTCCTACTGAGATTATGGAGGTTATGAAGATCCTAATCTTTTTCAAACCATTTTCGACGGTTCCATTAAGCAACTGGTTTGCTCTCTCATCATAGCACATTAATTTCTTTTGAATTTTGAATGAATAAAGATACAAATTTGTGTCATGCACTTGATTTTATAATTGCGTGCATAATGTTAATTTCTAACAGGTTCACATCGACATCCTAAGGACGAAGAATGTGTTGTTGTTCATTTCGAGCCTAGAGATATCTGAGGATTATATTGCTGTCTCAGAACATATATGATTTTACAAAGGATAATAATGAGTATAAGATTGTTTGGATTCCTATAGTAGAGAAGTGGACTAAAGTTCTGCAACGCAAGTTTGAGGCCCTGCGGGCTAAGATGCCATGGTACACAGTAGGCCAGGGTGGTGCCCACATTGCAGGCATCAAGTACATCAAGGAGGATTGGAACTTTAATGGTAAGCCTGTGGTGGTTGTGTTGAACACAAAGAGTCCGCTCCAACATTCCAACGCTCTGCCCATGATTTTGATATGGGGATGCCAAGCCTTTCCTTTCACACTGGAAAAAGAAGAACAGCTCTTACTTTCTCTCCAAGATACATGGTTTCCCGCGTTAATGGATGGCATTAAGATATCCAAATGGGTGAGTTCTTCCTAACAAATTGATGGATGTTCATTTTATAATTTACGTTGTCCATGCTAATTGCACATACACGTAATGCAAACAAACACAAACACACACAAAAAAATCAAATAAAAATATAAGAAATTTGTTGTGTTCTAAGAGTCTATAGGCAAACACTGTATCAAATAAAAATCAAATGACAATAAGGGTAAGAAAATGACTAAATAACTTCTTTGGCTCCCTCCCTTTTTTTTTTTTTTTTTTTTTTTTTTTTTTTTTTTTTTTTTTTTTTTTTTTTTTGGGTGGGTGGATGGATGATGTTGATTTGATTTAAATGAAGGAGAAGACCTAACCTTAAAAAAATTCAATTGCAGGCTGACGATAATATGTTTTTTTTTTTTTTTTTTTTTTTTTTTTTTTTTTTTTTTTTTTTTTTTTTTTTTTTTTTTTTTTTTTTTTTTTTTTTTTTTTTTTTTTTTTTTTTTTTTTTTTTTTTTTTTTTTTTTTTTTTTTTTTTTTTTTTTTTTTTTTTTTTTTTTTTTTTTTTTTTTTTTTTTTTTTTTTTTTTTTTTTTTTTTTTTTTTTTTTTTTTTTTTTTTTTTTTTTTTTTTTTTTTTTTTTTTTTTTTTTTTTTTTTTTTTTTTTTTTTTTTTTTTTTTTTTTTTTTTTTTTTTTTTTTTTTTTTTTTTTTTTTTTTTTTTTTTTTTTTTTTTTTTTTTTTTTTTTTTTTTTTTTTTTTTTTTTTTTTTTTTTTTTTTTTTTTTTTTTTTTTTTTTTTTCCACACCTCAATGCGTCGACGCCTCAACGGCAACAAAACGCCAGCCCAGACAAGGCCAGGCGCGCTAGGTGGGCTAGGCGGGGGCGGCGGGTAGGCAGGGGGGCTAGGGGGCGCTAGGAGGCCTGGGCTGGCGGCTAGGAGGGCTAGGGGCGCTAGGCGGCCTAGGCGGGAGCTAGCCGGCCTAGGCGGGCGCTAGGCGGACTAGGCGGGCGCTAGGCGCCTAGGCGGGCGCTAGGCGGCCTAGGCGGACGCTTAGGCGGCCTAGGCGGGGGCTAGGCGGCGCCCAACTCCCTGGCGGCTACTACTTCACGATTAGGATGAAATCGCAGCGGTGGCCTCCCGCCTGGCACCTTGATGTATCGGTTTGAAATGCTGATCAAAGCTATGCACCTTGCGTAGGAAATCGACGTCCGAAAGCTGGTTCTCTCCAATGACACGTAAAACACATGTCATGCTATCACTTCCATATAGTAAATATAAAATTTAACCTGCAATTAATGAAGAGTTGATTACTATATGAGGAGAGAGAAGAAAAACGCAGTTGAATTCCAATAGCTGTTAATTGAAGCGTTTACCAAATAATTGATGGCCTCATTCTCTTTAATCCAGCGCTCTCGCATAATTTCATTTTGATGCTTCTAAAACAAATTAAGCATGGAGTGGAGTTATCACATTCTGTTCTCACATGGCTCCTGGTATATCCATAACACCAGGGCAGCCACAGAGGGCCATAGTGAGCTCAAACTCCTTTTCAGCATTTCGATAACCTGTCTCACGCCGCGTTCTCCTTTGCTGCAAGGCCATAGATTACAGGCCTTCCAACCTGCAGCAACATTAGCCTGTATTTCAATAAGAAAATCCAAAATAAATACAAGCAGTTTCAGGGTTCTATCAGAAGGGCAGCTTTCAAGGCTCGGATAAGGAGGAGAAAATCTAGCAGCGGAATGAGCCCTGGCCCCAACAAAATCCTTGAAAAGCAGCCCTTAATGGATGTTCACAGCATAACCCTCAGGATATGCCATTTGTGCTCACTGGTTTATTCCATCTCTTGGAGTCTTTGAGCCCTTATCTAACTCGTGCCGGTCCATCATTGAAACACAAAGCAGGAGCATCTATACATACTAGAAGAAGGTATACTTGTCAAATAAGCAAAGCATTAGGGCTCCTCTTTCTTGGCAGGCACTGGTGACTGATGCAGCTACAAATGTACAATATTCACTTTCATTGACCTGCCAAAGAAGAGTTGCCCTACGATTGCTTTGGCTTAATGAAATTTGCAACCTGTTTATCATGCATTAGAGCCCCTGTCATGCAAAACATAGGCTAGCCAAGGAATACGTAGGTTTTGTCATATTTGAAAATAATGCTAGAGGTAGAGCTATAATACTGAAGTTATTTTGTTGTTCAAAGTTGTTCTGCTTTGTGACTAAGCAAGGGAAATAGTGTGATTTATATAGGTGTAATGGAAGGTGGAAGCCATATACAAGCAATTACTAATTTCCCCGATCCCTTTTGTCAGTTGTGGCCATATAGCTTTGTCTGAGAGGATGTTCTTGCTATGTGCTTATAGGTTGTTTGGGATACATAATTGTGATCATAGTTAGATCTATTTAATTATTATTTTAACCGTATCTACCTTTCCCTAACCAATGACCAGAAGCAAAACATTTTGATCCTAATCGTAATATGGAATTTGTGATTCCATCTGAATTATTTGTTATTTGTTTCATTTTCTTCATGTCTGTTTTGTGTTTCAACTTTTGAAACTTTACATATGTTCTTACAAAGTCTGAATTCAGTCTCCGCCAGCCGAAGAGGTTATGCTAATCTTTATTTGCTTTTGTTTTTTTAATCAAGTCATCCTACACTTTCTTTTCTTTTTTTCTGTCTTCTTTCTCTGGATAAACCCATAACTTATTACTAGTCTACATACTCGAGACTTTGTTCACCATTTTTCTAAAATGATTTTGAAAAAAAATATTGAGTTTGGACATCACTCTCAGTTCTAGTGTAGTAGTATGTGTATATATTGCACCATTCTAAATGAGTTATATTGCTCACACACATCGCCTATTAGATATAACCTCATATACAAAGCCATGAGAATTGTTTCATTTTTCAGATTTCTAAGCATTGCAACCATTACTACCATTAGCTTATGCAATAGAAATTTGGGCGTGCCTGTAAAACAAAATGAGAGACAAGCACTTCTAATGTTCAAGCAAGATCTTAAGGATCCTTCAAATAGGCTTTTATCTTGGGTTGGTGAGGGAGATTGTTGCAATTGTACTGGAGTTGTCTGCGACAATCTAACCGGTCATGTTCGTGAGCTGCACCGTGGGAAATATTATTCAGATGAGTATCTGAATTAGAGTTTGTATCAAGAAACTCTTGGGTGGCAAGGTAAACTAAATTTAAAGCATCTGAGCTACTGGATCTAAGCAACAATGATTTTGGAGGAATACAGATTCCTAGCTTCTTAGGTTAGTTTAAGATATCTTAACCTCTCAGACTCAAAGTTCGCTGGAATAATTCCGCATCAATTGGGAAATCTCTCGAGTTACGCTCTTAGGACTCCGGAGTAAAAGCTACTACGGGATGAAGGTTGAGAATCTCCAATGGCTTTCTGGTCTTTCGAGCTTGCAGAACCTAGACATGAATATGTAGATCTTAGCAAAGCATCTGATTGGTTTCAGGTGACAAACACACTCCCCTCTATGCTGGTAGAGTTGCATATGTCCGGTTGTGAACTCAATCAAATACCAGTTGGTGTTGCAAACATGACAAGGCTTAAAGTTGTTAATCTCAGGTGGGACATCATCTGGGGTACCATACCTCAATGGTTGTACACTTGTAGCAATTTTGAGTCCCTATCCCTTTATTTGATTCTCTTGCGAGGTGAAATTTCAAGTTCCATTGGAAACTTGACAGCCATTGTCAATTTTGACTTGTCTGCTAATCAAATTGATGGGAAAATGCCAAACTCATTGGGAAATCTTTGTAAGTTGACAGTTCTTGATCTGTCAAGGAACTATTTCAATGGAAGCGTATCAGAAATATTGGGAAGCTTGTCAGGGTGTAGTTCAGGTCAAATGGAGTCACGGGAGCTGTCAACAAATGATTTTTCAGGTCCACTATCCGATCAGCTAGGAAATTTCAGACATTTTAAGCCTCTCCTTGCTCTTTCGAATAATTCAGTATCAGGTCCAATTCTAGCGTCCTTGGGAAATCTGTCATTCCTAGAGAGGCAAGCATTTCTGAAAATCATTTTAATCGAACTCTCCCAAAAACTACTGGTCAACTCAAAATGGTTAAAGGTGTCTTAAGTAAAGAGCATAGCGTGGTTTATAATATTTATATAAAAAAGGCCCCAGTAAAGCCGGGCGGCATACGCTTTTAAAAAAAAAAATAATCCGGGATTTATTAAAAAAAAAAAAATCCCGGCCTGCGGCCTGAGCCTATTTCGGCCACGTGTCAACAATAGTATAGCTCGGCTATAACTATTTTTATAATAAAACGTCGTATTAGTCGTGCGGCTATACTCTATTTGATCCTAAAAGTGACCGCTGGTCGCCTAGCGCCTTCACCACGTTTGTTGTGTCGCAATATAGCCGCCGTACACATTTTTTAAATAATAAAACAACCGTAGTATAGCCTGGCGGCTATACTCTGTTTATTATTTAAAAAACCACCGCGTTGGAAAAGGTTTTGATGACGGTCTAGCGCTAGAGAGTTTCCTGTTGACATGGGTTTTGCTAATTTGTGTATCAGCGAAAACCAGTAACTCGGAACAGAAGATGCAACAAGAAAAATGTGATTAGTCTGTAATTGCTTGCAGATATGTGAGAAAGTCTTTTGGGATGATCATCTTAAAGGTCGATCTGAGTGGTTCCTTTAGAAAGTGTCTGACATTTGTGCCTTCACAGAAACAGGGACGAGTACGAAATAAGGTACAAGAAAAGAGGAAACAATTCGTCAAAGAAGAGAGGTAAGTGAAAAAATTGTTCTTGCAAATATATGGTTTAGTTAGCAGATTAGCAACATTCATTTTGCTTTGGTTGCAAGGTGGAATCTAACAATGAGAATCAGACTCTGTCAAGCAAAGAAAAATGTGAACTTGCTTTGGAAGGAGCAGATTCCAAGAACACTCGGATAAGATCGCAATGCTTGTGGATGATGAAGAGCTGGAGCTGAGAGAATTACAAGGAAGCCCAAATGCACTGGGGTTCTCTGAACATTTTACTCATAATGGAGATCATGCCTGTTCACTTTTCAAAGGTTGGTTTGAGGGAAGAACAGAACGCTGTTCAAGGTAAGTGAATTGCAAACGTTTGTGCCTGATTTGTTAGTTCTTTGCAAATATAGGACATCGTTTGTGAAAGATGTCATACACTCAGCTATTATTGCATGTGCTTTTTGTATTTATGAGGTCGTTTTATTATTCATGATTATTACGATCTATAAAACCTTGGAATAATTTATTTTGTGCTCGCTAATACTGCCTAATGGTCTCTCATTACTCTACCATATTTTTCATCGACGCTCTCATTGCATAGATTGAAGTCATAGGTTGTTCTTGCAGAGAGGTTATGCAAACTATGATATACCGAGAAGAAGATATATCAAGTACTAGAGATATATGGAATGTGGTCTAAATTTGATATTGGAATCTACTGTAAGTTGTAACTCTCTTTTGTGTAGTTCAGACTAAGTATAGGAATTGGTTCAAAGTTCCTTGTGATATTGCAGTCTTCTTCACAAGGAGGGGAGTCATTGTATTCTGGGAGACGAACACTAGTGAACCATAAGCACTGGGGCATAATTCGTCTTAAGGTCAGAGTGTCCAACACTTGCCTCAACTCAATTAAGATTCTTCTAGTTCAATTCTCCTTTTGTGAAAATCTGTTCTGTTTGCAGTATTTATTTGTTATTTTATAGCAATTTAGCACTCATATTTCCAACAGGGAGACTATCTGTGTATTTGTGTTCATGACTTCAGGTCCCGAAGTGATGCTTGGATCATGAAGGAATATGAGGGTGACAGAATCTTTGGAGCCTTCTTTATTCTATTGCCGTGCTGGGACTTGGGGATTCTATTAAGCCTGGGGTGCCTGACTTATGCAACCTTTGGTGTTTTCAAAGAAAGGCGAAATGGTTCTTTTGAAGGTGGAATGCCGAAATTACTAGGATACATTATTTGGTATGGATTTAGAGGAAAGAGCGTCAAGCAAGTTGAAACTAGGGGTCTGCCTCTTCATCACTACAAAGAAACCATTTGTTGGGGGTGCCCTTGTCTTCTTGATGACGATCCTGTTAAGAAAGCAGCAAGTCCCCACTATGATCTCTATGACTGCAAATAATAGAACGCTAACCTTGTTCTCCACCACCAAGTTCTTCTCCTCAAGACAATCCCTTATTCTATAACTCTGGAGGGGTTTGAATGACGACTATAAATTAGTTGGGATTAGGAAGCTTGATCATGGCGGCGAAGATGTTGCTGTGAGCTATGAAGTCAGTGTTTATAGCCTAAAAGCCAACTCATGGAAAAGGATCCAGAACGTGCCTTGCTGTGGTTCATCATTATATTTAAATAACAACGTGGTTTTGAACGGCGCTCTAAGTTCTAAACAGTTAGACAATGAATATCAGAACAAGATCCTAATCATTGATCCTGCCAGTGAGAAATATCATGAGTTTCCCATTCCAGTCAATTTGGATGTCATGGAAAACCATCAGTGTATTTCTGTTTATAATTTTATCAAGTCTCAACGTGATGCTTGGGTCATGAAGGAATATGGAGTGACAGAGTCTTGGAGCCTGCTTTATTCGATTGACGAGCTGGGACTGGGCGCTTATAGAAGCAAGCCTTGGGCGGTTTCAAAGAATGGCAAGGGTTCTTTTGAAGGTGGAGTGCGAAGACTTTGATAGGCTTTTTTGGTATGATAAGAGAAAAGGAGTGTCAAACAAGTTGAAATTAATGGTCTTCCCAGTCGATTCACGACAACCATTTGTTGGGAGAGCCTTCGTCTTCTTCTTTATGGCGATCCTGTTATTGCTGAGAGCACTAGCTATTTGTTTGAGTGTGTGCGTTGAAAGCACTAGCTAATCTAAGAATTAGTTATTTCCTTATGAGGCGTGGTACAGGCTGGCCCTACAATCAAGTCTGAAATATCATATTCGAATTTTCCTCTTGCTCTCTGTTATTCTCTCTGTTTTTAATCCCTAGGCTTGATACCTATCATTAAATTGCACTGTGATTTTATGACAGTGCTACATTTAAGATAGAAGTGCAGATGATGCTTCAACTTTTGTGGTTTCTAATGTTTCCTGCTAATATGTATATGAGATAAAATTCCCATGTGATCGAAGAGCATAACGTACCAAATTCCCACTTTAATTTGATCTTTTCTCAGCATAATGTACCAAGAGTTCTCTTTAAATCATGGACAGAAGTATTTACGGATTGCTACTGAGCAATATGAAGTCAAGATATTTACTCTTATTTCAAAGAACTATAAACTCTATATAAACCTAAGTATCAATTCATTTAATTATCCAAGCACCTTTACCTTTCAATATATATATATATTTATAAATCAAGTGAGGAACTAGACAGAATAGAGGAACGGAGGACACGAGCATAAAGCACAGGGAGTAAAGTGAGCCAATTGCAAGGACAAGGGGTAAATTGAGATTTTTGGTAAAGCATATATAGGCCATATCAATAATTAAGCCTTCATCTAATTATCCTTGTACCTTTACCTTTCAACATACATTATAAATCAAATCCTTATATCCAAAATCTCAAAGTATGCCCACGGTCATGAAGCGATGATTGAGTACAGCCTGTGCAATTGGCCGTTTTCGGAAGTCAGGATTCAGCATTGCCTACAACCGAGTGAAATAACATTGTTTTAATAAAACAAAATGGAAGTGATAATTGGAAGATATATCTTACATTCCGTTGAATGATTAAAGAAGCTTCTTCCAATTGGAAGATGTATCTTACTCAAACAGTATAACCAATTCAATGCCTAAAAAGAGCTATCTTCTTCTACTCGCCAAAATGAGACTGGACAACAGTAACCTTTTCTTTTACATGGTAATTCGGACTGTTTAGGATATGCTAAGATACCATATTGCAAATGTAAAAGGACCCTAAATATACTAAGGGCCCGTTCAATAACCATTTCAATTTTAGTTTTTAGTTTTCATTTTTCATTTTTTGTGCTAGAGGATAGAGGAAAATGAGAGTGAGAATTGGGGTGAGGATGAGATTGAGAGAGAGGATGAGAGGGGAGGATGGGAGAGGGGAGTAACAAAAGTGAAAACAAAAACTTGAAAGTGGAAACAAATTGAAATAGATTTCAGTTTTTAGTTTTTGTTTTCACTTTTGTTACTCATCCCTACCATCCTCCCCTCTCATCTTCTATCTCGATCACATCTCCACTCTCATTCTCACTTCCATTCAACCTCTTTTTCCTCTATATTCTAACATAAAAAATAAAAACTAAAAACTAAACTTGAAATGGTTATCAAACGGACCCTAAGTGTTTAAAGTGAGTGCCAAAAACGATCATCTATTTATGCTAACTTCGACTATATTAGCTCATCATATGCTGAAATGATGCTGAGATTAGTAAATATAGTTGTGAACAAAGAAAAAAATACAACCCAACCTGGAGTAACTCCCAACCGGCACCATCTCCAAGATCCAGGAACTTCACAGCATCTAATAGCCGGTCATCTGCTAAACAGTACCTGCCAAAAGGGGTCAAAGGGAAGAAAATAAGCACCTGAGGCAGAAACATCCCAAAACCTGCAAAGAAGGTCTTAACTTTAAAAGTAAGAAAAAATTCAAAAAGTATAATACAAATGTAACACGAGCACACTTTTGTCTTATTCTACATAGACTCAATGAAAAATAAAGACACAGAATCAAAGACAATTAATGTTTAAAAGGTCTTTACCAGTCCATTGATACATTTTAACCCCTGCATTGTTCATCTTTTATATTGTAGTGCAGCAAATCTCCCTAAACATAACTATTATTCCAGCAACAAAGCAGATTAGTAAAACAAGACTTCATTGGACATACAGAAAATGGTAGCTCCATCAGATCAGACTGTAGAACAACTGAGATCACACTAAAATATTCAACTGTAAAAAAGGAGCCGTAGATGGGAATTTAAACTCATAATTGATGTACTCATATAATGCTTGATGAAGTTCAGGTCACAATGGATAAATTATGCTTCATCCTAGTGTAGTCTGTCTACCATTAAATTTACCCTATAAATCATTGTGATTAAGCTTCAGTGAGGCCGGACCACATATGTGTAATTTCAGTAACTCAATTCCATGAAACAAAGCCCTAAACTACAGAAACAAAGATAGTGAGGTATGAAGCCCCTACAAGAGCTAAAGGAAGTTCTTTAAACAAAAGTTGAAGTGTTTATTACTATTATATAGACAAACTAATAATCGTTATGAGCACTTTATGATATCAATGATATCTTACTCTCTTGTTGCTCCAAGATCAAGTTGGAAAGTGCTCTCCAAAAGCCTCTGCAAATTCACAACATAAACAATTATGTCTAAAAGACTTGCAAATATCACTATATCTGATGTAGTAGCAACAACAGGGTTAGAAACGAAATATCCTGTTAGCGAATGTCACTATAACTGATGTAGTAGCAACAACAGGGTTAGAAACGAAATATCCTGTTTGTGAATATCACTATAACTAATGTAGTAGCAACAACAGGGTTAGAAAAGAAAAATTATGTTTGGAATCTCAATACTAAACTCATTCTCCCAAGTTTGTGACTAGAAGCTTTTTTTCCCAAAGAGAACTGTTAATGGTAATCAAGGGAGTTGGACCAGTTATTTCATTTTTCTATTGTTACTCAAGAGAGTCAAACAGTTAACCTAAGAATCAATGTCAATAGTTTTAAGAGTCAACTTATTTGGGGTTTAGAAAACTGTGTCCCGTAAGTTTTCCAAGTCTTCAACTCTTTAATGTCATTTAGCATTTTGTGGATTCTTTTCAGATTTAAGTATTTGTTCGAAGGCTTGCTGCCTTAGTATCTTCGTCAATAATTTCTCCTCTTCTTTTCTGTATTTTTTATCTCTAATTTCTCTGCATTCCTAGCAGTTTTTCTTCTTATCTCTATTACAAAAATTTGTAGCACCTACAGTACCCCATAATCTTGTGTTGTCCTACATCAATTTGGAAAAGAATGGAGGATGTTGAAGAGCTTGCTGCCTTGATATCTCCATCTATACTTTCTCCTCCTTATTTCTCTCTGTAATGTCTCTGCATTACACCAATCCCTACTCTTCTTCTTTTTTTTTCTCGGGTTGTTCTACCAACTATTAACTTTGTCTATCTACAACCCACCACAAACATAGCAGTATCCACTTTGTGTTTTCCCACAACAATCAATCATACGAGAAAAAGGAAACTATCAACTAAATCAAAAGAAAAGGTATGGTAACATTATAGCTTACTTGCAAGGAAAGTCCGTCCATTATGCCTGCTTCACAGAATGGAACAAATGCTAAGTATGCCAAGAGAAGACCTGCTTCATATCTGCATGGAGATCATAAAAAGATAGCGTAATGAATATGAGGTGAATTCGAACTTCTGAAATGAAGCCAAAGTGCAACAAATTACATGTCATCTGATATTCCAAAGGCTCTTTTTTCCATAGGAGTGAAGGCACCGGCAGTAGATGCTCTTCTCCAAAGTCCCTCCGATAGTAATCCAGGACCCCCTTCTAGATTTGAATACCTAGAAAACAATGTGTTTGGATATGCAACTGTTAAGGTACAGATGACCTACTGTTATTCAATAAATCCTCATATGCCTTTCTTTAATAAATAGATAATTGTATATGTAAATTGCGGTGAATCATAAATAAATAATGGCATTTTGATTCACAAATAAATTAGATTATACAAACTCATTGGAGTGTTGAGTAAAAAAAAAAATGACTCCACGTTATATCCTTACTTTAAAAATATTATTAATTAACCTTTAAAAATTACTATTTTCCTTTTGATAAATTGAAGAGACTCAACAACAACATTTCCTTCTGCATGCTCCTTTGTTACCTCCTCCTTTGTCCGTTGGTAGATTAAAAGACAGGACCTCAACAATTAAAATATTCAAAGAATCACTTGGCCAAGGATTGAAATTTGGCCAAAGCACCAAAATTTTGATTAAGCATAGATTACACATACAAAAAATATTACAAAAGCAAATATATTATATGACAGTTAGCATACCCAATGTCTACAGAAAAGGCTAGATCCCGAAGTCGTGGGACCAAGTAAGCAGCATCTCTCTCTGTAATTGTGCTGCCAGCAGTTGAAAAGTTTAAGCAGATTATAGCAGAGAGAAGATTCATAAACTAATTATTTAGATGAAGCACTGTCTTGAACAAAACTGGATATCTCTAAGCAACATACTTCAGAATAACAGAAGCTGGTCCAAGACTCTGGTGCAACCTGTCATGATCATGCATGTAAGCCAGACCTCTCATAATGCCCTGAAGCAGCTTGGTAACAAAATATCTTCTGCGTTTGATTGTTTCCTCTTGCTCAAATTTATTCCAAACTCCCGCTGCACGGTTTCTTGACACTTTTTCACTCATAACTTTAGCATAATCTGCGGCACTAGATTTCCCGTGATTACGAAAAGCAAGCCACTGCACATGATAAATTTCTTCATTCATTCATTGTCGCTACCAAAAGAATTAATAAACACTTTGTATAAGCAAAGTCTTGAGAAATAATTTCACATAACAAACCTGCTCTCCAGTTTTCGTTTCAAACCCACCTACGAGTATTGCAAGATTCTGACAGATGCCATTTGAACTGTTCTGAAAAAAAAACAAAACAAAAGGACAACACTAAAAAACAGGAAAAGGAAATGCTTTTGATATTGATATTGATTGTAAGTAATTGGGAAACGTTGCATGCATATGCAATCATTTATAGGGTAATTTAAGTAACATCTTGTATTACTTGAAGGAATAGGTGAGCATTTAGCTCATTAGCAGCCATCATATCCGCCTCATTCCCACCAGCTCGTTGTCCAGGATAAACCTTCATGCTTAAAAATGTTACTGTTCAATAGAAATTATGAGCCTATAAAAGTGAATCGAACTAAAGAGAATGGCATTGATAACAATATTACCTTAAAAACAACCGGAGTTCCTTTCAGTGGACCCTGGGAGACTCTCCCATCATATAGCCTGCAAAAGAACTGCCATGAGTACTATTAGCATCAGAAGGATAACAATTTAGAGATACCTTATTCACAATATAGATTTCCTTTGAGCTAATTTCCTCAAACTGATAGGACCAGTCATTGTGTGCCTAAGCATACCATACATATATCCTTTAGAATGTACCTGATCTTTACACTGCCTTCTCCTACATCTTGAACTCTCAACCGCCCCAAATCACCTGATGAGTATTCAGTATCTTCGCCCAATGGAGACCCCGAAGAGCTGTTTCAGGCAGAGAAAAGGAGAAAAAATAAACAAATAAAATAAGATCAAATAAAAGAAAGAATAATGTATTAATAAAGTATGAACCAATGAATCCAAGTAGAATTTTTCTTCTTTAAGTCAATCTACAGTTTTCCATTTAACTTTCTTCTTTTCCCTTTGGTTTCTTATCAAAAGATCAATCAAGCGGACGGTGATTATCTAAATTAATAAGAACATAAAGCACTTCTTTTTCCTCCAATTTCTCAGCCACCAGACACAGAAAGCAAGTTCAACAACCATCAAATAAAATTTAACTCTAATTAACAACAATACTGATAACTGCCCAATCAACAACCTAACCTTCGTTCCAATTGTTTAATCAGAAAAACAAAAAACAAAAACAGAGACAAATTCATAGGACATTATGACCCCCAAAATCTCATAAAAGCTTCCATCTTTATTAGGACGTACAACTGCAGCTCTATATAGAAAACGTTTCTTCTTATTTTTTTTCCTTTCATTTTCTTATAAAGCAAACAGAAAGTTAAGCATCGTTGACAAAAGGATACCTGGTGATGTTCATGAAGCCATAGCTCCCAATGAGTCGACCCACCTCGAACGAATCAGAGTTTGTGATCAGACTTGCTTTGCAACAGAACCGAGTCGTCCGAGTTCTGAGTAGTGAGTTGGGTTTGTGAATGTGACGAAGCGGAAAGAGGGAATCAGGTGGTGCGCGGAGCATGGTCGTTTGCTCAGCTTCCTTTCGATCTTTCTTTCAGTGTCCTTCTGAAGAAATGGCGCCAAGTGGTTGTTAGAGAAAGTTCGGGGAGGAGAGGATAAGGGGGTTTTGTTTTTTAGTTTTTTTTTTAATTTTTTTGGTTTCTAATGTCGCTTGTTCAAATAAAAAAGTTATAAGATTAAATACGTTGACGGGAAGCGGAATTTGGTCAAATTTAAAAATATTGGATTTTATATTGGTAAAATTGAAGTCTCGAGTCCCATTTTGATAATAACATCAAAATTGAAGGGAACATAGATATGGATTTTACACTCTTTCTAAGAAAAAAGAAAAGAAAAAAATTAAAGTACAACACTGCGTAAAGTGTGTCGGTCCTCACTAATTTGCTTGAGCTTTGCTTTTGTTTACTTCTATTTATAGTACTGGCCATTCCTGCTGGAATTCTATTCGAAATCTTCCAACCTCTCGTTCACACTGCAATTCATCATCTTATTCCAACATCTCTCAGCTTGCAAGGTTCGTAATCAACTATTTTGCTTGAAAATAATTTCTGGGCGTGGTGGTTTTGCTTTGATTTCTTTCATTTTTTTCACTTCCTTTTCCATTCATCGTCTCGTCTGCCTCCAGTTCGATAATTTTGCTTATGGGCATGTTTTACTTTATGCAAGTATTGTGATTTTCAGGTTATTTTGATTATTGGGTTGTCTTTATTTCCTTGTTTCATGAGGGTTGAGGATGCTCTGTTTCACTAATTTTGATTTTCTGCTGTTTATGTAAATTCATTTGTTTATTATTCCGTAGCGAGTGTTTTAAAGTGATGCTGTGGCATGGAGTTATGTGAATGTTTTTCAATTAACATACAGTTTTTGCGTACCCTGTTATGTTTTCCGGGAAAGTGTAGATAAGATCATAAGAAAATGTAAGCAGTATCAGAAAATAGCATTCCTACATTATCTACCCTTAATGGAATTTTAAGCAGTATCTGTTCTTCTTCCTTTAAACCAACCTCGGCATTAATTTTAGATGGCACCCTTTTAACAATAAGGAACTTCATTGGCAAGGCACTTATTCGATTTGTTTAGATGTTAAAATGCTTAATTAATCATAGATGCTGAAGAGTCTTCACTACAAACTCTTCACATTTTTTTGGTATGTTTATTGTTGCAGAATGGGAACTACTGGGGGAAGTAAATACGGTGAATACACATATGAGAACCTGGAGAGGGAACAGTACTGGCCTTCCAAAAGGCTTCGGGTTTCCATAACGGGGGCTGGTGGTTTCATTGCTTCGCATATTGCCAGGCGACTGAAGAGTGAAGGTCACTACATTATTGCTTCTGACTGGAAGAAAAATGAACACATGACAGAGGACATGTTTTGTAATGAGTTCCATCTTGTTGATCTGAGGGTGATGGATAACTGTTTGAAGGTCACTTCTGGTGTTGACCATGTGTTCAACCTTGCTGCTGACATGGGAGGTATGGGTTTTATTCAGTCCAACCATTCCGTCATTATGTATAACAACACAATGATCAGCTTTAACATGCTCGAGGCAGCGAGGATCAATGGAGTTAAGAGGTTTGTTTGCCTTGGATTTGTTATCTGTTTTTAGACATTTCAGTTAACTTATTCCACTTGGTTTCAGCAATGTTCAAGGGTCTATTGATCCACACTAGTCACCACTATAAATACCTTCTTCTTTTTTTTTTTTTTTTTTTTTTTTTTTTTTTTTTTTTTTTTTTTTTTTTTTTGAAGTTCTTTTATCTGTTTATTCTGTTTTTGAAGTTTTCTCTTTTTTTCATATTTTTTTTTTTTTTATCTGCTAACTGCGATTTCTCATCATGGTTTGCAGGCTCTTTTATGCATCTAGTGCTTGCATTTACCCTGAATTTAAACAGTTGGACACTAGTAATGTGAGCTTGAAGGAGTCTGATGCTTGGCCTGCGGAGGTTTCTGCTGAGTTCTTTGCATTCAAATATGTTAATTATGAAATGTGTTTTCGTCATTTTTGAATTCCTTTGCTTGTCTAATAGCCTCAAGATGCTTATGGCTTGGAGAAGCTCATGACTGAAGAATTATGCAAGCACTATAATAAGGATTTTGGTATTGAGTGTCGGATCGGGCGGTTCCATAATATTTATGGACCCTTTGGAACTTGGAAAGGTCAGCCTCCAGTTGTGAGTTCTGTTCTGACTTGATACACACTGCATATTTATGTATTTTGGCGTATTCATTGTTGCATATTGTTCGTGATCTGTTTTGCAGGTGGTAGAGAGAAGGCCCCTGCTGCTTTTTGTCGAAAAACCCTCACTTCCACTGATAAGTTTGAGATGTGGGGAGATGGGCTACAAACGCGGTCTTTCACCTTCATTGATGAATGTGTAGAAGGTGTCCTAAGGTAATACTGCCTTCAAATGAAAACATTTGTTGCTACAATTTGATATTTTGCGGCACTCAAGATTCTGTTGCTTTCATTGCACATCAATTGGTTTAATGTTTAGTTTACTGTGGAAATTGTAATACTCTTCTATCAATCCCTCCATCATAGGAAAAATAACTGCCTTTTTTAAGCTTCATTTGAAAATCTATGAGTTGGATTTTGAAAAGGGATAATGGATGCATACTGTTTTGACATTCAAATGCATTCAGATTGACAAAGTCTGACTTCCGGGAGCCGGTAAATATTGGAAGTGATGAGATGGTTAGCATGAATGAGATGGTTGAGATAGTCCTAAGCTTTGAGAACCAGAAGCTCCCCATCCATCATATACCTGGCCCTGAGGGTGTTCGCGGACGAAACTCAGACAACACTCTGATTAAGGAGAAGCTTGGCTGGGCCCCTACCATGAAGTTGAAGGTACAATTTTTCAGGAGTGATTTGTTTTCTTGACTGAATCTCACTTCTGCTGAATGAACTAATATGTGTTTAACTCTGATTTTAATAGGATGGATTGAGAATTACATACTTTTGGATTAAGGAACAGTTAGAGAAAGAGAAGGCTCAAGGCATGAATTTGTCAGGTTATGGGTCATCAAAAGTAGTGGGAACCCAGGCACCTGTTCAACTGGGCTCTCTTAGAGCTGCTGATGGGAAAGAGTTGCTCTAAAAACTACCAAGACATATATGATGAAGATGACTTTATTATTTGCTTACCCAGCATATCTGGATATGACAGATTTTCATACATAAAGCAACTGCATGGATTTGGTCTTAATTATTCTTCAGCTTTTCGAACAGCAGCCATTTCATGAATATGTAGTATCTAGGGTAGAATAATGTTCTGCGCTTTCTTTTACTGATGAAAGCTTTCGATCAAATCATAGGTTTGGAATGTCATTATATCAATGGCAATTAGTAGCGATGAGTGTCTGTTGTCCAGCTAGAAGATGTGATATCTTGAACAAAAGAAGAAACAAGGGTTTAAAAGCTCAAGTATGCATATTGGTCATTCTAATATCTATACTTGTGTGAATAAAGTGATGTTAGACAGCAAAATACACGAGACTCCAGAGTAGTGCATTATGAAAGGCAAAACTAGGGCAAAGATCAAACTGCAATCTATGGGGCTTTCACCTGTTTTTATTTGGTTGTCATAATTTTCCTAAAAGAAAGAGCAACATAAACTTTCCCTCGATTTCTTGCCATCCAATCAATCCTCGAATGCTTGCCTGTTTGTTTTTAATATTAGAATAGGTAATCTAATAGAATATTGATTCCTCGATATAACCATGTTAGTTTTTATGACTCCTAACTTACTTGTTAAGCAAGAATATTTGAAACCTTGGGGGTTCCTAGGATTACTAGGATTTAATTATGCGTCATATTTTATCAATGAACATAAAACCCTTAGCTACCCAAAAGCACAATAACCTCTATAACCAGATCCCAGAACCTCAAACCCTAAACCCAACCTTTCTAGTTTCAACCATGTCAAACATCCCACAGAAGCTAATCTTTGACATCCTTTCACGGCTTGAGCCGAAGGATTTGATCCGATACACGTGTGTTTCCAAAGCTTGGTATGCTTTGATCCACAACCAAGACTTCATCAAAGCGCATCATGAACGCTCCATCAAAACTTGAAGCTCTAAGAAGAGGAAAATTTCAAGCTCTGGTAGTCGAAGCAAAAAACAAAAAAAGATTATCTGAATATTTGCTTATGATCTATGTGATCTTTGTACGTAATGATCCTGTTTTCATTATTGTAACAGTGTTAGCTAGTTTGTTAGTCCGCAGTTTTGTTTTCAACTCTTATCAAATTCTACAGGAAGCTACTGCATGGATTTGGTCCTAATTATTTACGGTTGAATAATTCTGATTGTCTCTTCTCCAGCTTTTCGGACAGCCCCCGTTGTGTGCTATCTAGATTCCAGAATAGAATCCCGAACTTGAATCATTATACTCTTCTTCAATTTCAATTTGCTGATGAAAGCTTTCCTCATAAATTTGGAAGCAAAACCTCGTTATAACTTATACCAATGACAACAAGTAGCATTGCAATGAGCGTTTTTTGTCTGGCTCTCTCTACAGATAAAGAAGAAACGAAGGGTTTAATATTTAATAGCTGGGGTATATTTTCCAACCATCAGATTCTACATCAACGGTCAAACATTATAAAACAAAAAAAAAGATCGAGCCAAGTCGGTGGCCCTGGCCTATAAAAACTCTTTGCAATTGAAAATCAAACACGCTAGACGAGACAACAAAATAGTCGAGACTCCAGATCCTTCTTTTCCCTCACTTTTTCCCCCAAAGAAAAACTTTCCCTCGCTTTCCCGCCCTCCAAACAATCCCCGACCCGAATGGCCGCAATCAGTCTCCGAAAGGGCAACACTCGTCTGCCCCCGGAAGTCAATCGGGTTCTCTACGTCCGCAATCTCCCCTTCAACATCTCCAGCGAGGAGATGTACGACATCTTCGGCAAATACGGCGCCATACGACAGATACGCATCGGCACCAACAAGGACACCAGAGGCACCGCCTTTGTCGTTTACGAGGACATCTACGACGCCAAAACGGCGGTGGATCACCTCTCCGGCTTCAACGTCGCCAACCGCTACCTGATCGTGCTTTATTACCAGCAGGCGAAGATGGGCAAGAAGCTTGATCAGAGGAAGAAGGAGGAAGAAATCGCCAAGATGCAGGAGAAGTACGGCGTCTCCACCAAAGATAAGTAGTTAATTTTGTGTGATTTAACTCTTCTTCTGGTTGGAAATCGTTGGGTTTATGTGTTTGTATATGTTGAGGGTTATATCTACGCTCTGGATTTTGTAATCTAACTATTTGGGATTTGGAGGGTTTTTTTAATGCTCTAATTGGCTCTAATTGATTTGTTTTGTAATTTCTTCTGCTTTGATTTGTTTTGTTTTGGCTTGTGAATGTAGATGTGATGAATTTGAAAACAATGGTAGATTTTGAGGTATGCATTGTTGAATGAGATTAGTGATTGAACGCTTTTGATTTTGTTGGTTTTAGAATTCTGCGGCGAGGTATAGTATTTGATGCAAAATCAAGTTTTGTCACTGATAATAAACGTGATATGGAAGGCGGCATGTTTGTGTGGATGTGTTGTGTCTATGGATTGCTATGTGAACAAATATTGTATAAGCTCAATGTGCAAGTCTTTACATTAGGAATACTGATGTGGAGAGTTGAATTTTCTTTGGTAATTGCTGAAATTGAAGAAATATCTCGCTAAGTTTTTCTCCTAGTGTCTACCAGTCCATTGGCGTGTATTTGGCACGTCCCATAAGTAGGAGGATAGGATAGGATACAACATCCTTTAGAAAGTTTATCAACTTTTTGTAAGATTTCACATGTTTAGTTGGTCCATGAGGAAGCTGGTGAAATCCTATATGGCATTATCCCTTTCTTTTGTAGTTTTTTTGGTGGAGAGGGGGGAGGGGGGTGTTGTCCTGCTATAGTGGGCTACAAAATCCACTGGGATGGCTTTGATCCGGTTGTTAGTGCTCACCAAATATCCTATCCTTATCAAATGTGCCAAACACAAACCTTAATACACAGAACGCTTGTAGCTGCTTTCTATTCTTTGGTTTGGATTGGATTGTAGATTTGGGGAGAAGTGATGGGATTTGAGCACGAAGAGACAATATACAATTAAGAGACTGAAGAAAGCCCTTGGATGAATTTGATTTCTACTTACTAGTTCCATCTATTCTTGCTGATTTTTGCAAAACTCAAGGACTGACACGGGGAAGAATTCATCTTTCCCGGCAGTAGATTAGTGGATTTGTTAAAGGATGTATCTTGAGTAGCCTAAATGTGTAATTAAGGGAGTAGCTGTTGCATAGAGGCAAATTCTATAAAAAAAAACAGAATTGTCTATAATAGAGAACAAATTCTGCTGCAGTTTTGGTGATGCACCAGAAATAGAAATCAAAGCAATGGGCAATAACTTACAGTGAATATAGCTTAATAATTGAACCAGGAATGATTAATCTATGAAGGGCTAAGCTTAAGAACACTATTTTAGTTCAGATTTGATTTTCATTGAATCGATAGGGAAATGTATTTAAAAGAACTTTTATACTGCTATAGCAACCTTGGAATCCCCTTCATTACATATGTTTTCATGAAATCTTAGCCATACAAGCTCATTTAAAAGTCACATGACAAGAACTTCTAAAGCTTTTAGTCTATAGTTATAACATAATATAAAGCAAGATAATTCTCATAACGTGACGGTTAGGAACTTGGTACATAATAATAACTAGTATGTAGGTCTGAAGGCTGGGCCTACTTGGGCTTAGAAGTCTTCTTAGGTGCTCTGCTTCCGGGGAAATTGTCTAGACTGTTTGTGGGTGTAAGATGGCGGTCAACTTCTTTTGACGTATTTGAGATTGCATCCATTGGAAGTTGGAAGATTGGAATATTTACCTATTGCTTGGAGAACACTGCAATTGAAGCATACTTTCTACCTTTTCAAGATCCATACACATAGCCTTCCCCCTCCGAACTCCATCCCCCCATGTGTGGTGGAACTCAAGACCTGCTTCTATTAGAGAAGTGCACCATCTTGGAGGAAGTGATAATGACAGATGATTAAGGGTAAAGGGAGTGGGATGTTTAACAGTCAGGGATGCACTTTGTGATAGGTTCCTGTTTCCAGGTAAAACTAGTTTTGTGTACCTATTAAAGAATACTGTAAACTTGACTTGCAGTTCCAATTACCATCTTTCCGCTCACTTGTTTGTGTGGTTTTTTATATATATATATTTTATTTATGTTTTTGTGGTTGGCCTTGAAAGCTTTGTGGAAAGGAAGGGTTTTTTTATGTCACTATCTCTTCTACTGTTTTCAACTTATTACTAAATATTTGTGATTACTGTTATTATGTTAGTGTTGTGAATGTTGTGTACGTTCAGATCCTTACTGGTTAGGATTATAAAAACATGAGAAGGTGCAAATAATAGTGTTAGCTTTCAACTCTCTGACCCATAAACATGAGAATATTTTGAAATTGTTTGCTGCCTTGTTTAATGGAAGGGCCGAGATCCTGCCTGGGAGTAGACGTTCTAGATGATGTTATAACACCACCCAACTATCAAACAACTTGACCGTAGCCCTGCTTGTCGTCGGAGATAGTTGTCAACATTGTCATAAAATGACACTGCATATGCATTTCTTTAGAATAAAGTTCCTCTAAAAAGAGATTGAAATGATATTTCTCTGCAGACCATTGACTACAAATTAGCAAAGAAAATTCATTTCTAGCTCGCCCCTCGCATTATTTATTTATTTTTAAATAATTTTCGCACATTAAGGTTATCTTTTAATGATTATGATACTTGAACAACCAGTTGTACATGTCTCAATGAGAATCATAGAGATTTGATTATCTCTCTTTTTTCGGTTGGTAGGCCAACGACAGCCTTCTGGCCTTTGTTTGAATGATTTTTCTCAAACCGATGAAGAAATATTTCTCCTCATTCCAATGTTTCCATGAGTGGATTCAAGTTCAAATGTCCTTTTCAAAACATTTCATGACTTATCAAATAAATTTGTTCAAGTTATTATCACTGTGAATTTATCTATTTTACTAACCCGAGAATTTAATCCACGCTCCAGAAGTGGGTTATGCCAATTGATCAGGGTAGTAAGTCCGCTCATTACGCACCTACTCATAAACTAGATTTATTTAAAGTTGTTTATACTATCATCTATATGTATATCAATCCAAGCCAAACCTCTCACCCAACTCAAACATGAGTAAATAATAATAATGAAGTGATACTACTTACAGTCTGAAGACCCACAAATCATGCAAAATGTCAACATGAAATGACAGCATAAATCAACCTAGCTTTCCCAAGAAAAAAGGGCACAACTGAGATCGAAGAAGTGACTTTTGAACGTAACGCAAGTATAAGCATTTGAAATACGGCAATAAACTTTCTTCAAAGCTCATTGCAGCCGAGAATGGCCTGCCAATAGACATGAATTAAGCACAAAGCTGCTAAATTCTTTTTTATTTGGTCAACAGTTTGCTAAATTCAATTCCAAGTCGCTTCGCCTGCCAAATTGCCAATGGTCATGAACTAAAAACAAAGCTTGCTAGGTTCAATACCAGGTCACTCTGCTGACTATCTAGATACTCTGTTTTGAGCCCATTTACAGGATTCATAGATATTTATTTATTTATTTCATATTTTTTTAATTTTTTATACTTTATTTTTTTATTCAAGCAATAATTTAAATTACAAGAGATTGAGGGTTTTCTGACACACGCTATCAAGGTTGAGTCATGTGTAAATGAAGATCTATTTTCACTAGGCTAGAACTCGTTGGTTTAATTCTTTATACTTAATTTAATTATGGCTACCGACCAAAACCAGAACTTTATAGATTATAATGACAGCCAAAGTGGAAATCCAATTAGAATGAGCGGCATAAAATGGTTTGGCTATATCCTACTGGAAATCCAATAGGAACCTTCTTGAATTGGTCATATTAGAATGCATCCTGAATCCAAATAAAAACGATATAAATAAATAAGTAAAAACCCCACTAAAAAATAATGGTACTAGAATTTGCATATAAAACAGCAACAGAATGTCGACATCAATTGAAGCCTGTCGAATATAAACAATCAAGTGCATCATTTAAGCAAAGATTGTGGCCAATTTTTGTTGTTGTTGGGTATAATTAATTCCTCATTCAAGTTTGAAGTACTTGCACAATAATTAGTGGTTGTAATTCAAATCTAAAAATATCCTTCCTTCGCTTCGGTCAATTAATATTAATAAGAGGCAATTTCACAGGCTGCATCATCTATCATTTATGAAGCTCAGCCTCAGCCTCAGCCTCAGCCTCAGGTAATTTCACAGGCTTTCTGAGGATCCTCCAGCTAAAACAGTAGCATCTGCAGTATCTCATAATCTCAATTTTCTCTTCTATTTTTTCTGATTCTCTAACATTTAATTTAATTTTTTCCACAAATGGTTCACAAAACTGTCCTCTTTGAAAGAATTAATTGGGGTTTTTTGTCATTTTGTTATTTTCTGTATTAAATTTGAGTCAGTAAAATAAATGCAAGTATTTATGTTTAATTGGCTAAAAAGGGTTGCATAGTAAAAGCCCATCTAGAAAGTGCCAAGCCAATCAAGATCATTTCTTTTTCTTTTTTTTGTTTGATAGAATAGTACAAGGATTATGACTTCATGAATTTGGGTAATTTTGTGGGAAATGTACATTTGGAAAGCAACAATCCGCCAAATGCAACCTATTGGTGGTCTCACAAAATGCCGGGGTTTCCGCATAAACCTGTTTTTGCCATTTAGCTTTGGAGAATATGTTGAATCTGATTAGGGAAAAAAAAACAAAGCAAATGTGACCATTAATTTTGTATGTGGCTAATTGTTTTTGTTTTTGGGTCCAATTATAATCCCCCTCTCTTTTTCAAGTCTATTCACTTTGTCGCAAATGAAATATTGAGACGGAATAGATTACTCCAACCAATTCACGGCATTAGAATTGGTTGTTGTTATAGGTCTTGGGCCATTTCCTTTCATGAATTTTAAAATTATCGTTTTGTGTGGAATATTATTAGTCAACTTATTGAGTCTAAACCATGAAATACTACAACGGGCTGAGCAAGGCGCATGATTAATTTCTAGTCGTTGATGCATGTGTCATCACCCAATTTTGTGTGTAAAATTCACCTATATCAAGGCCAAAAATAATCCATATATGTGTGCGTGATCGACCAAACGACGTTAACCAGGCGTTTAAGCTTTATACTAAGTATTTAACAAATATACCATCAAGTGACATTTGTTTAATTATAAGCATTATATCAGCCCAAAATTTAATATATGTAGAAGATCTAAACACTAATAAAATGCCAATAAAATCAAATGATGTGCTAAAAAATAATTGAAGTTTGCTTCTTCTTTTTCTTCCTTAGCAGTTTCTAAGGATGTTATCCATCCATGTCCAAACTTGGATAAGCCCTGGGAATAGGTGGATTTTATTGGATTGTGCCCTAAATACAAAATAATCAAAGTCTAAGCAAGGGAAAAAAAACAGTTTATTTGAGTTCCTTATAAAAGTCATGAAACATTAATTTCTATGGAGTTTGAATGAGACCATTCTGTCTTGACCATGGCTCAGCTGCTACGTGCATCTTCATGACTGGTTTTGGTTCATAACAATAAAACAGTTGACGTGAAAATATTAATTGTTTTGTGACAGCAATTGTGAATCACATACTGATTTTAGGTTGAAAAAACAAAATATTTTTATTTTATTTTAATGATGGTGAGAGCTTCATATTGGTTTTGATTTGAAGCCTAAAGTCAAGCAAGAAGCATTCAACTCCATTGAAATCATCTGTCCCCATTAAAGCGATGGGAGATATGCTAAATAATTTACTTGTCCATGATTTTTTATATAAATTTGTGGACATGCATGTTTCAAAGTGACCTCAATTTATATTCTCATTATTATTATTATTATTATTATTATTTTGAGTGTGATGGATGGCATGCTATGTGCACGCATAGTGTTACAAGAAACACACAGTTGTGTGGTTTTAACTTTTTACCACTTATCCACGTCATCCTCCGTGGACACCTGTCATGCATTTATGTCTCAAGCAGGACAAGAAAGAAAAATAATAATAAAGAGGGAAATAAACAAGAAAAGAAAAGATAAAAGGTTTGCTTGTGTTATAATTCGACATCTTGTACTTTTAAACCTTTTAGACTTTAGGGTTTGTTTCTATCGTATATAATTTTTTTGAATATAAATGATAATCTAAATTACTCTATTCTACTCTACAAAGTAGAGGATTCGAAGTTGGATTCAAGTGGGCATACTCACCGTTCTGACCAACTAGGCTAACGTGCATATGCTATGGATAGAGGTGTTTAATAAGTTGAATATATAGAAAGAAATGAAAGTAGAGGTGAATATAGAATGGATAAGTTATAAAGTATTGATATCTTACTAGTTTTTGAGAATTGGATCAAATAAATTTCTTTGATGCGTAAACCCTCTCTTACCGGACAAAATTTCTTCAGTTTCTCCTTCAACATACCTCAAATCTAATGAGTTATCTAATTCAGTTCTAGACAACAACAACAAAACATGAAGACATTATATGATTAATTGGGTAGATTCAAAACATTTCTGTGCACGTCTAGATAATAGTGTTGTGGATCAAAATGTGTAAATACTCCTCTGGCTGGCTGGGCGGTGAAATAATCTTCTTCTGAAAATATGAAGCCCCTGTGAAATTATATGGTGACAGAATATTTCTAAATGAATAAAGAAATTTATCAGAAGCAGAAAGAGGAAAAAAGCAAAAATATGAGGGACCTGAGAGCACCACATGTCATCCAAACAGTGGATCTATATTTCGTACAGGATAGAGAATGCATGAATGAAGAGCAGGGCAGTGGCAGTGGCACAGCACAGACATGTCAAATCATGATTGGATAAGAGTGAAGGAGCCCTAGACTTTTCGTGAACCCCTCACAGGGTTTTTGGGGTTGGTACATTCCTCAAATTTTGTGCTATCAAAAAAAGAAAAAGAAAAAAAAAGGCACAAAACCTAAAAAGCATATGTCCAAGAGAATATCCTAATCCCACAGCCAAACATTGTAGAATCCACTACTGTAAAGATGGGGATGGGTGCACCTTATCCTCTCTCCCCAATTTCCAATATCCGGACACTTGATTTCGTGTGGTGTGGGCAAACTTGGGTGAAAGAATGAAATCAAATTTGCGCATCACAAGCAATCTCTCATTGAGAGAGGAGAGAGGAGAGAGAGAGGGTGGGTGGGAAGTTGCTTTCACAAGGGTTTTTTTGTTTTTGTTTTTTTCAAAACTTTGTGGCAATTTATTTTTTGCTTTGAACAAAAAAGAAAGCCCCAGCATCAGTCTTATCACCCAAAAAAAAAGAAAATTAAAAATTAAAAAAAAAAGAAAAAAGAAAGGGACCCCACAACCACAACCCCGACTTTTGGAGCCTTTGTAGTTCTTGAGAGCATTGTAACCGACCCAACCCACTTCATAAAATTATAAGATATGAATGACCACAGCAATAATAATATGAACATATATTTTACACAACATAATGGATTGCAAAGTCCCCACCACAATCATTTCTAAGCAAAAAATTTGTAAATTGGTTGAGAGGATCACATTTTTTAATCATACTAATAAATCCTTTAATATAATAGTTGACGCGTTAAAATAATTTTTGATTATAATAATAATTGATGTAATAAGTGCACATTGAAATGATATCCGTCAAAGATAATAGTCAGATCGCATTAGTAACATGTAGTCGAAAACTTATGGTCCCATTGAAAATAAAGTTTTGGGCAAATCTATCACCAATGTAGCACAACAATAGAAGGGAGGTTTGTGCCATGAAAAGCCAACAAGGTCGGTTTGTCTGTAGATAGCCATGATGCACATTACCTTAATAATTAAGGTTAGGAGATAGGACTCTGAAAACGTGTGTTTGAATTGAACCAGAAAAGACTCCGAAGGTGGATTTATGAGGTTTTTAACCCTCCAAGAGGCTTGAAATTTGTCAAACACTCCACTGTTTTGATCATGTATTAAGTATGACTTTTAAAATATGCAGCACACTCCACTTCTCCTATTATTACGGAATAAACTGTCGAAAGCTAATAAAATTTAGTGACATAAATATCACAAAAGATGGTTATAGAAGACATCCATCTAAATAAATCCATCCACAAACAAACTTTTACAAAAACTTAGTTGAAATTAAATTCGCGCAGTTAGACTCCACGCATTCGCTATCCTTCGCAAACAAAAAGTACAATTAAATAGAGAAAGAGACCGTCTTCTTACCTTCGGTTGATGTTTCCATTATCCCTAATTGTCAATTTGAATCACAAATTACCCCTAATTATCAGTTTGACCCAAAAAAAAACACATCAAGCAATGCACAATGAACATCTTAAAGAAAAGGACATGAGTTCTAAATTCTTGTAGCAAGCACTAGGATTGTGGGTCTCACTCGAGCTTCATTTGCACACAAAAAGTACCCAAACCCAAAAATCTTTATCTTCTTCACCGCCCAGTCAAATTGTCGCACGTGTTGGAGAGTAGCTTGTTGTGAGTCGTGAGAGCAGGGAGTCCTCAGTCAAACTAACACTTCACACACACAAAAGTGCAGTTTCCCTCATTTCTGGTGGTCGTGGATGAACAGAATGAAACTCGTTTACTGGTTTTCACTTTTCACGAGCAAATAATAAACACCCAAAATAATAAAATTGCAGGGAATATCACGCAATCCTAATGAGTTTTATTCATTATTTATTTTATTATTATTATTATTATTATTATTAACCCCTCACGGCCTTCGAGACTCCACGAGCCCCCCCTTCCCTCTGCCGTCATCTTCATCATCATTTTCTCTCTCTTTTTTCTTTAATGATTTTAATTTTTTTTCGAAAAAAGTAAAAATGCCCTAAAAAGATGAGAAGATTGAGAAAAGAGTCTCATATCCCACTTTGTTCCCCTTTCAAGAAACCGTCACTGCAGAGAGCTCATTGCCTCAAAATACCCACCAACAAACAAATTAGTAATTATTAATAATAAATTAGATGCATAAATAAATAAATTACTAATTTAAATACTAAATTAGGTGCTAAATATTATCTGTTTTTCTTTTTTTTATTTTAAAACTGTTTTTATTACATAAAGATCATGGTGCATAGATTTACTCGCTTCTCTTACATTGGGGTGCCCTTGCTAACAAAAAGGGAAGGGGAAACTGGGAAAAAGACACAAGTTCAAAAAGCCTGTACCAGTACACTCTTACTATTCCAACTGCCATTTATATATTTTTACTTATATTTTTATATTTTATATCCTCTTTTTTTTTGTCCGTGGATTTTCAAAATTAAGAAAAAAAGGAAAAAAAAATTAAAAAACCAAAATTTGCCTCAAGGTTTCTCCTTAAGCAGCGAGGCCAATCCGGTCACGATCCGCGCTCCTCTCTCGACGCTCTTCGGCTTGATCGCCGGCGGCTGCCACTTCACCGCCTCCTTCTCGACGGAAATTGGATTTTCCGCAGGCGACGGCAGAGGGGTAGCCGGCGGCGACGGGCTCTTGCCGAAGATCAACTCGAGTTCGCCACAATCGCTGAGATTGTCGGTCTCGGTCGGAGCATCGGAAACTACGGTTGGGACCTCCGGCATCGGAGCGGCGTCGTTTTGGGGATTGGTTGCGGTGGCTCGGGTGTAGGGAGAGAGCCACTTGGCGCGCATGTACTCGGCTTTCCGCCATGGAGGGAAATGCATGCCCTTCTTCTTCAGGCTCTGTTTGGCTGCCTCCGACACGATGGAGACGATCTGGCCAAGACGGTCCGATTTTCCAACAAAAATGTACGGCAGGGATTGAAGGACGGCCTTGTAGGGCCCAGTGGATCGAGCGACCTCAAATTCCGATCGGAAATCTATGTCAATCAACAACCTGTCGCCCTCTACCATCACATCGATATACTCGTATTCACCTGAAGCCCAAACGCCAGAACCAAAATTATTATTTTTAATTCTTGCATTTTTTTTATATAGGAAATCTGTTTGGATGCTCGGAAAGTGAGAGAGAATTTTAAGTACCAGCAGGGAAAGAGGACGATTTCTCCCATTTCGATTTGCAGATGGAGGAATCGTAGCCGAGAGAGTTGAGTCCGTCGGTGACGACCTTCCTCCAATCGTCTTTCTGTTTCTGATTCTTGTTTGCTTCGACGATATTCGCTGTATGGGCTAAGAGGTTTCTCTCTGCCACACTCACGCATGGAATCAGACTCTGATTTTACAAAAAAGCAACAATCAATCATCTAAATACTCTGGTTGGTTGCCAGGAAACCGCGAGAAAATGAACAGCTACAGTAATAAAAACGTAAAAAGAAGTAAAGGAAGAATTGAAGCGGCGAATATACCTTCAGAATATCGGAGGCGTCGCCGCCGAACGAACCCGAGGGGATTGAATCGCCGAAACCACCACCGAAGACGTCAAGCTCGTCGTCGGAGCTGTCATTGCCGTTGCCGTGAAAGCAATTGCAGCGGTTGCGGCCACATTTCTGCGGTGGCTGCTTCTCGTTGCTTTCTTCGATGAAATTCTGAACCATCTTCGCCAAGCAAACCGAGCTGGGCTCGAACTCCGTGGTAGCAGCGGCGTTGCCTCCTTCCTTGCTGTTGTTGAAGCTCTGCTGCGGTGGCTCAGTACCACTGCTAGGCTTCTCCTGAGCCGAAGAAATTCTAAGCACGCTCGGGAACTGCCGGTCAAACAGCCTCCTGAGCCGCGATTTCAAGACCGGTTTCGCCAAGTCGCCCCTGGCCGGTTCGATCAAGGCCTCGGAGTCGACATCTATCGGCTGGATCTTCATCGGAAATGGCATAGAAGAGGGAAGCTCCGGGAATTTCTTAAGGATTTTAGTGCTTTTTTTTTGCTGTGGTTTTACAAATTACAAATAACTAGGCTGACGCACCGCCTATCTATATCTCAGCCTCGTTAAACTTTGGGATCCAAAATCAAAATCCACAGACACACAGACTCTTCGCATTTACACCGCTACGAAATTAACCAAAAATTTCTACAAAAATCAACTCGATTCTGAAATCAACGTTTTCTTCATCCACATTCACTCTCCTCCTCAACTACCAAAAACACTCGAAAATCTCAACTCGTTCTCTCCGACTAAAGGGTCAATCCGGTCCAAAAGCTCCAAAATTAAGATTGAACAGAAAAATTAGTACCTCTCTCTAGAAACTGTTAATGTTCTTGTTTTTTTTGGGGAAAACTTGAGCTAAAAGAGTATGGCTTCCGATGAGGGTTTTTCGTGGAAAACGTGATGGCGATGATCGAAGATACGAACATTTCGTATGCATATGAGTAGTAACGTCGCCGGAATATTCATTTCCGGCGATCTATTCTCGCCGGCGACGATGCTGGTGGTGGTGGTGACAGGTGAGCTGATGATGAAGAAGAGAAGAGAGAGTTTTGAGTAATCTGCGGGTGAGGAAAATGGGTTTTGTGGAGAGTGAATAAAAGAGGTTGGATGGGTTTGGGTTTTATATAGGGGAAGCTGAGGGGTCTGCTTACCAGGATCGGGTCTGCCACGTTGGATATTACGTGGAAGAAATTATCCGGAAAATGCAGTTTCCAGCGTGGCATGGTGGATGATGATATATGGATGAAATTACCACCGTGCCCTTCGTAACCAGACGACTTCGAAAACTGGCAAGAGGGGGGGGTGTCGTGGGTAAGTCGTGCGAGAGGGGGAAGTGTGGGTGTGAGGCGCTCGGACGTTTTTCGAGAGGTGCGCGGCTAAAAGCTTGTGCGACACGTAGTTTGCGTTGGTTCGCGCGCGGGGGTCTGTTTTGGACTTTCGTGATTTTAAACTGACTGCAACGCAAGGACATCATTTTGGACCGTTTTAGATTCCTACCCCCGCCCATCCTCCCCTCTCTTTTTGAGCTTTGAGCTACATAACTCCCCCTTTTTTGTGTTTAACTGAGCTCAGTAACTCCCTTTTCTTTGGAAAAAGAAAAGGGGAGAAAATTCAAGTTTTTTATTTATTTTAATTTTTCACTTTATGACAATTGTCCATTACAACAAAAATTAACGTGACAGGATGCGTATAAAATATTTGATTTAGCGAATTCGGAGAGACGAATAAATTTTGTGAAACGTAAATATAAAATGAGCTCATTCTACACTTAATCTGTTAAAGGAAGGTCAAATTCATTTCATCGTTATTAAATAAATGTATATGAACTCTTGGCTTGTTTTTATTACTATTATTCTTCAATTCATCAAATAATGTAATTGAAAGTGTAAAAGATACTTGATTAGAATTAAGTACACAAACATTGTCGAGCCAAAATAAAGGACTATAAATACCAATGCTTGGCGTGACTATATATTGGAAACTATGCTCTTTACTTAGTCAAAATTATCATGAATGGTTCTATCTCTAATAATATCTTCTTTTATCTATAATCACACGCACTTCGCGCACGACGTTTTTATTAATTTTATTTTTATAATAGCATTTGTCAAAAATTATTTTAGTGAAATGTCACTTTATATGTTGGCATGTATAGGACAAAAAACCAATTGAAGGAATCCCCTTTACGATCAAAGCCACTTAAGTTGTTCCGATATATATAATCGATTAGTGCCCATTGTGGGGAGCCAATTATGTTTTTTGCTGTTTCCTTTCAAATCATGATTTCTCATATTTTTCACAATATCAATCCAATTATGATCATGAGTGCAGCAATGTTTTCTCATAGCCTGTGTCAGGTGGAGTCTCGCAATTCATCTAGAGAGGCTTAATTGATTTTTGATTGTGAAAAACGTGCGACATTATACTTTTTTATTGAGTATTTCGAACTTGAGTGATAGAACACGTATCGATCTCTCGTACAAACGTCTGCTTGAATTTTCTAGTAAACATAGCTACCAAAATTAATTTAAATGAGATCCAATGCAATTTCACAACTTATTTTTGTTACTCTATACAACCCTAAATTTGGCCATTTGTGTGGACTAATCAAATCTCTTTGACTAGTCCAACTCCAAGAAATGACCGTGATGCAAAAGACAAGGAAGAAACAATAATGACCTAAAATTATATTGGTCTAGACATGCATGAATTTCACTCATCAGTATTGGCAAATCTTACCATTTTATATTCTAGTGTCCCCGTGAGTGAGTGACCAATGAAGGGTTAAACGAGTTGGACCGTTAGGTTGATAGAGCTATGTTTGAATTGAAAACAATGATGGCCAAATTGGTTTATTAGCAGTAAAAAAATAAAGTTCAATCAAGATTTACAGTGAGGGTACGACTCTTATATTGTACGCATGTCCGGTCAATTCTCATCAGAGTTAATAATGAGGACACACAAAGTTATAATTTTGTGTACAAAATTTTGGGTACATTTCGAAACTGAGAAGTGATCGTATTAAAAGCAGAGGGGGACAAAGCTGAAATCAGTATGTCAAACCATATGAACCAATGAAGAATAGGCCTGTATTTTTCATGCTCAAGATATGCTCTTCCAACATGTCTTCCTCTTCTGGGCAATCACTTCTCTCCACGTACGTACTGCTTTTGTTTTTTCTGCTTCGTGCTAAATATTTTGTGGCCTTTAGGTCAAATACAAAGCGTTGTTATATACTATGGAACGCAACGCTTGGGTTAAAACCAACTCAAACGGCATGTATATTCCTGAAATATCGTATTTTAGTCGTATGCACTGTAAACTGAATATTTAAAAAAGTTTTATACATTCATAGGTGGAAACTATGAGGCTAAAAGATGAGCGTTAAAGAGTTATTTTACTCCTATCATGCGTTGCTCCTTGCCGTTAAAGAGTCATTTTTGATCCATTATATGATAGTTTAAGTTTTTGGAGTCGGAAACAATTAATCTAACTTGGTATTAGAGCTTTCTTTGCAAATGAATGATCTTCTTGAGTTTGATTCTTATTCTCCATTTCATGAGGGAGAGTGTAAGCTCGATGTACATACATTTACGAGCGGATATTATTATTCTTTAATTATTTAATTTTTACTATTTTGCCCTCATATAATAACTGATTACATCTTTAGCAATAATGTAATCATGTATTATATTACTACATACACTTGTCATTAATATATGTTTTAGTTTGCATAACAAAATCTGGTCTAGTCTGGTTCTGGGGAAGTAGCATCCCAGAGATTATAATGTGAATCCTTTTGCATCATTTGAATTTCCAAAGCTGTAAAATTGTTGCCCCAACATTTAATACCTAAATTCTTGTGCAAGTAACCAAGTGCCAAAGTTTTCAAATACCTGCAGCCTCCTTGGCATCTCCTTTCTCCAAAGTCCAAACATCAAATGAGGAGGCCTGTGTGCTTTGCTTCATGCACATCAAAGTTTCCCCATTGTCAAAAACTGCAAGCAACTTTTTCTTCTTTTGTGCTTTAGATGATGAAAAAGTAAACTCTTTAATTAGAGAAACAAAATTATGTCCCATAGATAATTAGCAATTCATCACTAAACTAAACCCCCCCTTGGGGTTTAATTAATTAATTTATTTTCTGTGTTATGACTTTAATGAGGCAAGACTATTGATGTCACTTTAGTGAACTTCTTTTGATGATGGCCAAATGCAATTATTGAATTTCTTTTCTTGAGACTCATTATTCTCTCTTTAAAAAGCTTTTGGGAACATGGGCTTGTTATTAGCTTTTGGGGGCTCAAGTGCTTTTAATTTACAATTAAGTGTATTTTGGACTTAATCAGAAAAAGCAACAGCTTAATTAAAGAAGTTCTTTTTTTGGTGACATGCTTTAAAATTTGCATTAGTACTTAAGGGGGCCCCTACCTTCATAATTTGAAAGGAGTATTTTCTTCTTTAAATTTATGCGAGGATAAGCCTCATCACAAAGTTGATTTTCGTACCTCTTATTTGGCCGAAAGAATTCACTGTTTGGATGCTAATCAATGTTGAAGTTGGATGTCCGTTACTATTTCTGCTTCTTTTTTTCTTTTGCAAATATTCGACTTCTTTTGGCTATTTGGGGTTTTTTTTTGGGGGGCCATTTAGGTGTTTTTGACTCAAATATTTTTTTTATTTCTTGGGGGTTTAATGGACTCAAAATTTTAATGAATAATAAATAATTTGAATTCAGCATCAATCTATTTCCATATTCAAGAAAGAAAGCTAAATAATTCCATGATTCAGTAAGAAATAGAAAATTTAAGATAAGTTTCAAACTAAGTTATACAACTAAAAACAAGTAACGCAATGCCCCAAGAGGCGTTGTATTATGAGGAACAAATAATAAAAATATAATTGACTGTAAAAACAAATAAAAGTACCACTCAATGCTCCGGCTCCGGCATTATTATTAAAAAGGATAAACTTAAAAAAGAAAAGAAAAGAAAAGCCAAGGGTTGATGAAGATGAAACCTAGTGAATTCCCCCCGCACATATGGAAGTATTCATTGCAATCATACCCGTCGACATCCAAAGATTGAAATTGAACATATAGTTTAGATTTTAATTATAAAGTATTTTGCAAATATTAATATGCGGATTGAGTAATGTATATATATAATTTTTTGATGGAGAGTGGGGAAAACATGTGGGTGGAGTTTTTTATTTTTTATTTTTCATTTTAGTACAAGTGATAGTTTAAATTACAGGTAAATGTGTCAAACGGGCCGTGCCGGGCCCGTCCATTTTTGAAAATCATCAATTCTGGCCTGAGCCCACAGCCCAAGCCCATATGGACTTGGGTCGTGCTCGTGCCGGGCCACTAAACTGGCCGAGATAGGCCCACGCCAAAATTGACTTATGTATTGCAATTTTTTGTTTTTGTAATATTTTTTGTAACT